TGCTCCTTAGAAAGGTTCGCAGCCGAGTGCGACGTGACCGGCATGCGTGTGAACGCATCCAAAACGAAAACCTAGTGCTTTGTCGTTCTCGTGACCATTGCTCTCTTCAAATTAACGGAGAGACAGTGGAGTAGGTGGAGAAGTTCAAGTACCTCGGAACTGTATTTACTAATGATGGAAAATTTGAGGAAGAGTTCGACCGGCGGCGGATTGGAGTAGCCGGTGACGTTCTGCATTAAGTAGCTTGGTGCGCTGTGACTAGAGTAGGCCTACCTCTGGGGACTAAACACTCGGTATTTTAGTCGATCTTCATCCACGACGGGAAATCCTCGTGCTTACCAACGGTAATGAGTTGTAGACCATGACTGATAAGCTTCGAGCTAGGGTATAACCGGTTGAAATAGGCTGTCAGAGGAATCTCTAGTCTTATGCGAGTTGACATGGTCCGGAATACTGACATCCGAGAGATACTTGGTGTACCTCCTCTACTTCTCCAGCTGCGATGGTTTGTGCATGTGTTGCGAATGTGTCCAGAAAAGAAGGCGAAGCAAGTGTTTCTTGCCCAGCCGACCGACAGAAGGCTCAGAGGATGGCCAAGATTAATTTAGTGCAAATATATGGAAAGAGTCTTCTCCAGACTCCAGTGGCCTTCCGCCGAAGCTCAGACTCTGGCTCAGGTTCGGGAACGTTGGAAGCACTGTCCGTTGTCTGTCTCCACGACCTGAAAGGAGAAGCGGTTATAATAAATTAGTCAATGTGTGAATGTATGAAGGAACCTAGTCCGCTGTCAAAGTTAATAAGACACTGATTATATAAATTTCTCTCGAATTTCAATCATGGAAACGTGGGGTTTGAGATTTTCATAGTATTTTAGGATTTCTCGCATTGTTGGCCGTTGTGCTGAATCAAATGTGCCTCAAGGTCAAAAAAATCTAGCAGATCAAGACATTCGAAATCGTTGTACGTTGATCCTATGAAGAGTAAAAATTTGCTTTAGGGATGACATACTCCATCCGGAATCCTGTTTGATGTACAGGTAATTTTTCATCAAGTACCTGTTTCAGTCTCAGCCGAATATTCCACAATAACAGTTTCCTGGATTTGACAGCAGGGCAATACCGCGATTGTCTTAGAACTCCGTTTACGGGAGGTTTCCTTTCCGTGCTTAAGCATGCGGACAAATACTACACGGTTCTGATTTTTACGTCACAATTGATTAAATGCGAAATTAAAAATTTTACCATTCTTCATATATGCCATATGTAATTTGCTGTGAAGAAATTTGATTCAAACTGCATGCCTTCATTTCCTTGAGATTCAAGAAAAATGCTTGGATACCTAATTTTGTAGATAAGTCTACATTAACTCCTAGATAACTTCAGATGGTTAGAATCGAACTTCAGAACTGTTTATATAAAATTAATGAACTTTGTTTGTGATAGTCGTGTTATGCAATGCCTTGTTGAAGTGATCAGAATCTGTTAGTAAAGAAAATTGAGGTAGAGCTGAATTCCAAAGGGAGTCATGAGGTGCAGAGCGCTGTGGTGCACTTTCTAGAACACTATAACTGGTGCGCAATCAGGTTTTAGTATTTAACAGCAACAGAAACGGCGAAAGTTTATTAGTTTGTACAAATTTATATCCGAGCAGTAAAAATCGATGATCTGTTATTTAATATCAGTAGATGTGGCGAACAGTAATACATATATGGCAAAACAAATTTTATATACCATGATTAAAATGATTTAAAATCGAATACTTCTCTCTTATCCTATTTTAATAGAAAAATATACCTATTTTTCCGCGTTTTACCGAATGGGATTTTGTCATTATCGCTCCAGTGGCTGGTGTTTAAATTCATAAGCGAACCCGGTTTATAGGTGTATTTAAATAAAATTAAAAACCTGGAACTCGCTGTACCTGATGTCAATATTTCTTACTGTAGATTGCGGCAGCTTGCGTTTCGGACCGGTTGTAGCATGAA